AGAATATGGTATTAATGGTTATATTTAAATTATAGGAGCTTCGGAATAGAAACGAGCATGGCATTGAATCTTACACTGAACAAAAACTTATGGTTTGTGGAATAACCAGGAGAACATAATGGCACTTCATGAGGATCTGACTCGACTCCAAAGTTGGGCAGATGACAATGGACTTACCTTTAACACTTCAAAGTGTGAAGTAGTCCATCTGAGACATGTTGCATACAACAGCTACAACTTTAGAAACAACTCTCTAGAAGTATCCCAAGTTGACAAAGATTTAGGAATGCTTGTACCCTGCGATTTGAAGTATCATACTAGCCGTGACAAAAATACCTTTCGAGCAGACCTTGCGCTGAGAACATTGAAGTGCATTTTAGGCAGGTTTAATGGAAAAACCCTCCTCATAATCTTCAACAGTTTTATTCGTCCCCATTTAGAGTACGGAAATATAGTATTCCCTTCCTCACTCCAAAAGGATAAGTGCATTCTGGATCGTATCCAAAGGCGGGCCACGAAATCAGCTCGGAGACTCAAATTCAAACCTTATGCAGAGCGTCTCCAATCACTAAACCTTTACCCTTTAGAGTATAGAGGTGACCTTCTAGTTGCTTACAGTATCCATAGCACTTCTGGACATCCCCTTAGACACCTACTTCAGTTTAGCCCCAACACAAACCCAAGGGGCAACACCCAGAAACTGGAGACATAATATGGCAGATCGGACTGTAGACACACCATCTTATCTTTACTAGTAGTCAAATGCTTGGATTCGCTGCCGGCTGAGCTAGTCCAAGTGACATCCCAGGAGTCCTTTAAGTGGAAACTTGACCTATTCCTAAGAAGTAAGGGTAACATCTTACTATGATTTACCAATTTCTTTTTTCCTCTATTATGTTTAATATGTAACAGCTTAGGTTGATTGGTCAAGAGTTCACCTCTAACAACTAAGCATATGTCAAAACAGTATAGTTCAAGTGTTCATTCACTTCCTTATTTTGACTAGGCATTATATTTCCTATAATCCTACATTGAATGTTGAGAGGCTTTGTTTGTGACCGCGAGATCTAAATAAAGATCTATTCATTACCCGTCTGGTTTCTCCTATCGATAGCACGAGTGTTACCTAGAGGCATGAAAAGTATACCTAGGTTCCTGCTTAGAGGTATTGTTGACCCACTACTACTAGACATGGAAGCCCGTTAAGCAGTACCTTCTTCTATTCCATCCTAAACCACTTGAACCATTTGAACGTATGAACAATACTAGATGTTGGTATTTTGCAAACTATGAATTAACTGGAATAACTCTAAACATGACATCCGTGATTTGTTATGTCCCATTTACTTCTCTACATACATAAGCTTCACTTTTCCTCTTTCGAAATACGACAGCTACCGATTTATAGAGTAACCAGACTACGTCAAACCCATCAGAATGTTTTCACGAAGAAGAGTTTACTGATGACGAACTTTATTTCAATAGTGTGTTGAACCCGTTTACAGATACTTGGCCCAATGCCTTTCAAATTGAACACAGATCAGTGTTACCTGTCAACAGTTAGTGACCTTTACATACCCAATTATCTTCCATATAGTTTGTCTCACAACTCATAATTTTCATCCTTACTATCACTATTACAGTTATTCTCGGGAATACGTCCCACGCAAAACACCAAATATCACCGCCATGCTATAATATTCAACTTATTTCATGTATTTATATCCATTTTTACTTTTCTCCACACATTTTTATTCAACTTTTATCACTCCTATTGAAAGTTCATCATAATAGTTGGAAGCTCGAGAAACTCTTCTGCCATATGGTGAATGTAGTCATTCATACATTAAACATTCGAACCATCATGGTGGCAAGTGTTGTAGTTCATTAGTTGCCCAAAGCCAGAAAACTGTTCTTACGTCAGGAACTGAATGCATAAAAACGCTTTCAATTGGCAGTGGCTTGACATAAAGACGTTAGATCTTAATTTCTTATCATCTCATTCCATTACTCTTCGTTAAAAGCTAAAGCTGAGATCTACATAGTTACAAGACAACTACTAATCCATCAACCTTACTGTTCTAGCGGTAAATTAATCCCCAACAACAACAGTTCTGTAAGTCTTAAACACTGATGCTGACCTCATTAGTTCTAATGGATACACCCAGCTGCAGGCGCCCAGTTACGCATCCGCACCACAACACGATTGAATACGCCGTGCTACACATCTCCTGCAACCGCTAACCAGAATAGATTAGTCAAGTCCCGATACATCGACAGCCTATCAGATATATCTTCGAACCTACTACAAGAGACATGTTGGATGGTTGTGATTGTCTAAGCTTTCCCAACAGGTGCAGGTAGTCCTAAATAAATCGGATTGCACTTAAATCAGCTACCTTGTATATCAATTATCCTATATTTTGATTGAGATCGTGAACCGATTGGTGTTAGACCACCGCAATTGAAAACCTGGAAGCACTGGACAGCCGTTTCATCCTATTGTGGGACTCCTCAGCAGTGCGCATCCACGATCCCGCGAGCGTGATTCGAACCGAGGGCCTTCGGTCTCGCGCACGAACGCTTATCCAACTGGACCACTGAGCCGGCATCCAATGGTGATAGTTTCTAACATCAACCAATCCACGAAATTGCGCGACCAACTTCCGTTGTACTGAGGTAGATACCCGTCTCTACCCGACAAGGATTAGCTCCACTGGTCACGGCTTCTCACTAGAACTCCGAGAATTCCCTCACTAAGCTAGTCACTAGTGAGCACATGTTGATTACTAGTATAGGGGTTGTGGAGATTATTTGAACAACTGTCACTGAACACAAAGTTACAGTAAATAGATTACTACAAGAACAGTCCATCAAAAATCAAATAACTAACTGAATGCAGAGTAAATTAATGCGACTGAAATTCATTGAACAGAACTCACTAAGCTAAAACCTCAGTAAATTAATACATAAATTTCAAAATCACTTTTCTTCCCTATACGTTGTACTCGATTTCGCATCCACAATAATTCTTCAAACTTCCCATTATTCTTCGAATTGTCTTTTAGGTAATTTATCTAGTGGTGAACACTTGCGTGTTTTGATTAAAAGAAGCATTCTATCGGGTGATTGGATTAGTCAATGGCTAATCCTCATGAGTTGGAGGAAGATGCAGATTGGTACTTTCATATACTCTTCCGATTGGGCGATCGTAGGGGTCTTATAAAAATGAGTAAACAACACCTCGAGATAGATGCAAGACACTGAGCCGAAGTACAGCATAATCGGCAGGAGACTCCTAGCCATGTATTGTCATTTTTCTATACTTTCGACACTCTGCGGAAGGCGGAGAGTTCACTCTTTTAACCGACAACAAACCTCTAACCCCCTCACCTAGGTCGTCTTACCTCGAGATTCATGTCAACTAAACTACATTTTACAGTCTGCTCCAGATATATAGCACACTTCTAGGACAAACACCGTAGAGGCAGACGCTTTGTCCCATATAACCTCTTTGAATAGTTTCTAACGAATCGAATCAGGGTCACTTTCTGCTGATAACTATATATAGTATGTATTTTATCGTTTTTATAATTTTTTTTTCAAAATGTAAGAACCAATGGATCGTGCTCTGATAAACTTTTGTATTTGTTTAACGAAATGACAAATTCCTATCATTTTAAAGTTATGCAATGAATTTTGTTTTTTAATAACTTATAACAGCGATAAACGAAGACTAAGTTTCGTAATTACAACTTGTGTCCGAACTTGTCAGGTTAGCCATAGTGACCAATCAATTCTCGGACGAAGTTTCTCGGCATGGCTATCACATGTTTACATTATAGCTTATGTCGGTTCGTGAATAACATTCTCATCTATATTCGTATCCTCAGTTTCTTAATGTGGGTTTGTAGAATTATGGTCTACTATGATATTAGTACTGCTCTAATAATAGATCTAATCCTAAAATTGTAGACTTGTCATGATATAACTGCCTAATCTATAAGACCTTACATAGAAGTCGCACCATCGTCTATACCAACTCACTGTATTGTAACAATTACCAATACGTCATGGAGAAGAAGCTGAGGTTAGAGATAGAACAATATATTTAATATGGATAAAAGATATAAGGTAACATTCCCCAGGGACCACGTCGATGAACTCCAATTATTTCAACTCATTGTTCCCGCCCTTTCCGCTGTTAGGTATTTCTCCGCGTTAAAAATACTGAGTATCTATTTTCCGAGTAGTCTCGTGTTCAGCTTTGTGGATTGTGTGGTTAGGGTTCAATGCTACTACAGGTCCTCGTCATAATTCCCCACTCTAATTCCGAACCCTGTTTTATCGCAGTTATTTGCTGACATGCTTCATAACCACTTTGGTACCCCGAAAATATTGCCTACAAATTATATTTTTTCTCAATAAGCTGAAAGTATAGATATCGTTGTTAACAAACTATTGCCAATCCCAAATGTTGAATTTTGATGTTTCTTTTGAATACCTTTTATAGAAACGACTGCAGCTGCAGCCCTCTAGAGGGCTATAACGCCAGTCAGTTGTGACTCATTACAAGCCTGTGTAGTTTTCAGACCTATAATTGTTTTTGACTTTCAAACGTTATTCGTGTACTTGCTGATTTCTCTGTGGCAAAACCGTATATACTGGTAAAGAAGGAGAATTTAACATAGCGTTTACGTGATTTTTGAAACTCGGAGAATGATCACTTAGCTTGGACATTTTCAATGTCTGAGAAAACCCACCAGTGTTAATAATCATGACAAAATAATAAAGATGAACTCGGAGGATCCACAAGCAAATGATTTGATTTTCTTATGCGAAATGAAACAAATTGTATGCATGAGTAATCACTACTGTTGATAAAGTGTATTCTTCTGATATACCTTAACTTAAAACTTCTACCTACTCTCAAAGCCTAACCTCTCATGGCTTTCTGCACTAAATTGTTTGTTTGTTTTACCTGTATTTTCTAGTTAGCTGGGAAGACCTTTGTAAGGTCATTCGCAGCCAATCGAGTTCGCCGTATTAGTAGTATCATAGGGTAGTGTTGTGTTAAGTTATCAGAAAGCGGCATTTAATCCGGATTAGTGACTTCCTTAAAAACCAAAAAAAATATTGAATCTAGGAGACGCAGGAACGAATGTAAGTCATACTCTGTGAAATCCTCATTTTGATGGGTAGTGAACGTTAATTGTTGCAACCCTTAGTTGAAAGTGTTTTCATATCAATATCTTAGTAAATTCATATAGTCTGTAATATACGTATTGGTGTTTTGTGAAGCTAATCACCGACACGTAACAGGTAATGTTTGGGTCTTGATTTTCAAGACCATTTCGCAATCAAGAATATACCTTAAACTGTAAGAGGTGAGACTAGAATTTATGAACCACCTTTGAGCGACGCTGAAGTGACTTTGAGAATGGACACCTGATAAAGACTAAATTAGGGTTATAAAACACTTGGGAGTATGACTTACAGTTGATGGTTAGAGCTAGAAACTAGACTGAATTTTCATCACGAAATGACATCAGCTATAATGCAAAGCTATTTAGCCAACTGCATGAATGAATTTCCCGTCAAAATTTATGACCGATTATCTTATATCTGATTAGTTTGTTCATTAATTGCAGCTTCGCCCCGTAAGGAACACCTGATTGTGTCACGTGTCCCATTTTTGTGAGCCTTTAAGTTTTATGCTTATAGTCGTCATTAAACATCAATTCTTATGAACATGAATATTACGGAATCACTGACTTTTTTATTGTTAAAAAACCGTGTACTTTAGAATTTTAGCCCAATCTCCCTATTTCGGGGAAATTTTATCCGTTTTGTGGAAGGCGCTATGGAAACGTAGGAAAATTCCCCAAACTAAGGAAATTCTGTGGTTTCAGTGTCTATTTCTAAACGTGGCACTTAGGTCATATCTCAAGTATATTTCTCGGTGAGACGATAATTTATGGACGACCTTTGAGCTAAGTTAGACTGGCCTTGAGAGTGTCCACCTAATATCTATGATCAAATGAGGGTTCTAGACCTGTGCAAGGAATTAGAATTATGTTTTACAGTTGATGATTAACGCTGGGAATTAGATTTAGAGTCTTCATCACGAACTGACATCAGCTATAATTCCAAAACTCTATTTAACCAAATTGAATGAGTGAATTCCACGCCAATATCCGAGGCCTATTATCTTATACCTGATTGGCTCGTCAATAAATTATAGTCTCGCCTATTTCTAATAAAAACCTTTCGACCCACCTGAAAATCAATAGAGGATTGTGGAAATCCTGTATAAAGATGTTCATCAGATAAACATTAGTATTCTTTCCTGGATATCATTATAAAGCTTGTTCCTGTTTCCATCAACACTTTGTCTTTATCCCTAGAATGCTACACTTGGACAATTAGCTCACATGTTCAGTGTTGAGATTCAAAACTACTTCATGAATCTTAGTCCTAAAAGTCAACACAGTATGATCACCTTTCATTAGACGACATTAGTTGACTTTCCCTAATGCATTTGAAGGTGTGGTTTTCAATGAAGCCGGATTGTGAAAGTCTACAGTGCTGTATTTGAATCCAGTGTTTAAACTTAGTATCTTACGTCCTGCCCTCAGGTACAGCAGATATAGCTCTGTAAATTATACAAGTATACATAAAACATTGATTACTCCTCTCCCAAAATAACTTTACTGCAAGACCTCTAAAAGTTACTCTTAGGTGTAACCAGTCATTCTTAATACCGATATCATGAATCTATTTCTCCTGCTATGGTCGTTAGCTCTCAAATTTATTATGACATAAATGTAATTTATTTGTCGATATTAAACTTAATACTTTGATGTCGTCAGTGTTACACATGCCTTGAATCCTACTAATCCTCAGTATCATGTGATTATGTCGCCTAATAGTTCTATGTATTTAGGGAAATTAGTCTTATTGCTCTTTCGGAATGCTGGGTATCTTTGATATGATTGTTCACTAAACTGATTATTGACAATTTTGACTTCAGTACGATAAACGAGACATCTAACTTCATAACTGTCCACTGCCTTTAATTAGAAGTCCGAGTTTGTATACAAGCTTTTCTTCGTGGAGACCTCGGAAAATTGGACTACACTTAAATCAGCTAGCTTGTATATCTATTAATCTATATTTCACTGGTTGAAATCATGAGTCAATTGAAGGTAGACTACCATAAAAAACCTAGAGGCACTGGACGGCCGTTTCGTCCTAGTATGGGACTCAGCAGTGCGCACCTACGATCCTGCCCACGCGAGATCCGAACCCAGGACCTATCAGTCTCGCGCCAGGAGCTTAACCAACTAGACCACTGAGCCGGCATCCAACGGTGTTAATGTCTAACTTCAACCAATCCACGAAGTTGCTCCACCGTACACCATTGTCTTCAGTGAGTTGATATCCCACAACCGACCTGGTTGAACTCCACTGGTAACGGCTTCTCACAAGAACTCCAGGAGTATCTCTTGAAGTCAGTCACTAAACGGCCTTCCAGTGCTTCATGGTTTTCCATGGTGGTCTAGCTTCAATTGACTCATGATTTCAACCAGTGAAATATCTAAAATCTCCACAAAACCCCTTCCGATAATCTATATTTGTTAGTTACAGAATTCCATTATTTGAACAACTGTCACTGAACACAAAGTTACAGTAAATAGATTACTACAAGAACAGTCCATCAAAAATCAAATAACTAACTGAATGCAGAGTAAATTAATGCGACTGAAATTCATTGAACAGAACTCACTAAGCTAAAACCTCAGTAAATTAATACATAAATTTCAAAATCACTTTTCTTCCCTATACGTTGTACTCGATTTCGCATCCACAATAATTCTTCAAACTTCCCATTATTCTTCGAATTGTCTTTTAGGTAATTTATCTAGTGGTGAACACTTGCGTGTTTTGATTAAAAGAAGCATTCTATCGGGTGATTGGATTAGTCAATGGCTAATCCTCATGAGTTGGAGAAAGATGCAGATTGGTTCAAAAGACTTGCAGTGTGGGAAGAGTCTCGGAAACAATACAGATCTGCTGCATTTTACTACACTGTAGATGGCTGATTAAATCATTAACACTTTTAGGAAGCTGCTCAAGCACTCTTGAATTCTTTGGAAGCAGGCTCAAAAACTGAAGGTTTATTAGAATTAGCTCAGAATTACAACAACAAAGTGAAAGAACTCAAATCAAAAACTGTGGTGGAAGATGCTTCCATACCGAACACTCATGTTTCTAAAAGCAAAGTCTGGTTACATTTGTGATTAATTTAATGCATCAGGCTGATTTTGCAAGGGCTCTTTTCTTACTGGATGACGGTACTACGGAAGATGAAAAAGGAAACTTCCACAAGGCTTTTGAGCTCTACACATTGGCTGTAGAGTTAATGTTATCCATAGTAAATCCTCTGGATTTAGTTAATTAAATGTGCATAGAAACATGATGTCCAGGATCCCTCTTTACTTAAATCCATTGAAAAATTTTCCAAAAGGGGTTTAGATCGGTATTAAAATATTATTTAACTAATTCCAGCTTTCTAGGGCAGAAGAATTAAAGGCATATGTTCAAAGAACACAGCCTCCTTGTTCTGATTCCCGTTCTTCTTGTAGCACTTTAACGTCAGGAACATCTAAGAAATCCCACGGTTTTCATAAACCCAATATGTCTTCGTCTTTGAAAGGAGGTTGGTTTTTTAAATTTTTTTAGCTTGTTACTATTCTTACCCATAATTGGCCGTTATTTTCAGTAATACATTTAGAATCAGCACCTGACGAAACACTTATAGCTAACCAAATGGAAAAAATATGAAACTCGCCATCTAATTCAATGGTAGCGCAGTTGCCTTTTTGTCATCGATTATAATGATTAACTTTACATTTTCAAGTTAGCTATCTTTATTATTAACTATAGCGTGACTTACGAAAAATCTCGATTGATTCTCGTGATCAAATAACTTGTGACTGAACTAACCATAAAGTAACTATTGGTTATTACTTAAAATAATCTGTTGATATGTAGACCGTACGACATCAAGGATTTTTAAGACATTTACGTAAATTCAACGCAATGGAAAACCTTTCCAAACAATACATAGCTCATATTTTTCACTTACTGACTCGTCGATGTAAATATATCTTCACATTTTCACCGTTTTTTCTTGTAATTTATTCTGTGGAATTTCATGTGGATTGAAAGATGGAAGAACTACAGTTAATTTTGTAATCACATTTACTTGTTTATTTAAACACATGAACATTGGTACAAGGAGACATCAAATAGATATGCGCCACATAAATCCCATGGTAGCCGGGGACCAGCGATTGGTTCATACGCCATTTGTTCCCTCAGGATCCTGGAGCCCACGTGCACCATTGGTTTGGAATCAGGGTCTTCCAACTCACCTGGGTGGATCCACCAACCCGGTTAAAGTGCCGGTCATTTTATCTATAAATATAACAGCTTTGATTCCCTAATACATTTTACCATCAAGCCATACGTTCGTTAATTTGAAATCTATTCATCGTTTTAACTCAAGGGATCATTTCTATGGGTAAATAATTCTTAGCTAAGTCACTTTCATCGATTTAGTATCTCATATTAAGCCCATTCTTCGATTATAACACTGAAAAATATCATCAGAATGCTTGAAATACTCTCAAATGGCCACGTGCATACAACCACTGCCAAGGAAGTCCTACTCACTACCTTCTTGCGGTGCGGGTGTTTTTTTTTACAAAATTGAGAAGACGAAAAGCGAATATCCAGCGCTTTAACCGGGTTGGTGGATATGGAGGATCCACCTAGGTGAGTTGGAAAACCCTGATTCCAAACCAATGGTGCACGTGGGCTCCACAATCCTGAGGGAACAAATGGTGTATGAACCAGTCATTGGTCACCGACTACCATGGGACTGCATCTCCTAACGTCACTTCACTGCCTTGTGGATTAAACCTTTAGGTCAAAGGCTCCGGGTGTGGTCGTCTAAAGAAACCACCTGCTTTGGTTTGGGCACCCAGGCAGTTTCTCAACCTTCACATAAATCGAATGATTTATGTGGTGCACATCTATTTGGTGCCTCCTTGTACCAGTGTTTATGTGTTTAAACAAATAAATAAATGTGAACACAAAATTAACAGTAGTTCTTGTATCTTTCGATTAAGAACCGTGTTGTTTAAGCGATGAAACTATGTTATCTCATTTTCGTTTTGTTTTTACTTAGAAGGTTTCACACTTTATAATGACGGTATAGCTGATCTTTGATATAGTCACCCATCTTGTTTCTTAAGTCTTGATTCTTCATTTCTACTAGGAGCCTGTACATTACTTAGGCCTTCAGTGCAATCAGTTGCCGCTTAAAAAGCGGTCAAAATTCTGTCTCAACCAAATTAAGATTTTTATACTACATATTCCATAAATTTGATCATATTCAGACTTGATATCAACCAATTTCTCGTTTTCTTTAATAGACCCTGGCGGTTTTACTGTCGAAGAACTGGAGGTATTGAGGTCCACGTCCGTTATAAATGGTCGTGAGTATTTACCGTTTCTTGACGCCCTTGATCTACAAGAACGATTTTCCTTTGCTAATCCTTTTGTGTAAGTCATGGTCCATGTCTACAAACGAGTTTTCTTGATTTACATTTGATTTATGCTCTATATGTTTATAGTTAACCATACTTTATACTAAGCTTTAAATATTAAGTCTGATATCTAGCATGGATCTTGTTTGAATGTTGTGTAATTACTAAATAATTTCAGGGCCTTATACAGTAGCATGTTAGCTCAAGTTGTCACAGGTCCAAGGAAAATGTACACTTAGAAACAGTTAAACCTAAAATAATAGAGTATTAGTTAACTGATTTCTCCCTTGGTTACTTTATATTCATCCATACTTCTAAGTGAAATAGATACAATATTTGGTTGCTTAGCTAACAAGTATTAAAGTTAACAAATCTTTTGTCCAAATTTATTTTAGTCTTTATTACTTACATTTAGGTTGTAAGCCAATTTCTTGTAAATGGCTGTAATACCCTTCTCATTTCAAATAATTAGTAACCGCATCCATACAGTTGGCAGTTTGGTTTACGGTACAAACATTCCGCCTGTCAACGCTTCAAAGAAGTTAATATTTTTTGTTGTCCTCTACCCGTGCTATTTAAAAATGACTAATAGCCTGAGGTTTTTTTAAAACAAATATTCATTCCGCATAAACTTTTTCCTTTAATTTCAAACTGTTTCAACAAAAATTTAAGCCTATAAGCACTTACTCTTGTTTCGTTTGATTGTCCTGTTCTCATGACTGAAACTACTTTTCTGTATTTTACTTAGATTTAATTATCTTGTAAGAATATCCATTCAAAACCTAGAAATTCCGAACAAGTGTTTTTCTACAATATTGTGCGTCCTGTAATTTAATGACATTTATGTAATATACACTCGTGGACAATTTTCTGATTCCCATTATTTTCGAAAGGACTGTTGTGATTTAGTTAGTTGTGAAATAAAGTTTGTTAAGTTATTGATACGACAGTACAACTTACAACAGAATATCAAGCGAGCACGAGTTTGTAAATTCTCAAATTTTATTTTCTATTTTGGGCTAGTTAGGTTGTAGTACTTAAATCTCTCACGTTACGATGTTGAGGTTTTCAAGCTCAGCTCAATTATTATGCGATAATCTTACAAATTCTTTGTGTTTATTCCACTACTATACGCTTTTCTTTACATCCACGACCGACTTCTTGTAGGTTTTAGATGTTCCTGTTGACTGCCTCCATTACACCAGTTTGCATTCCAAAATAGTGTACGTGGTGTCGAGTCACTAGTGGCCACATTGCGACTCTTAGGAATTATTTATGGGTTATTAATGCATATAATATTGGATGATTATTGAGTGACAAGACTATGTATACATATCCCTAGGCTGCATATGCTGGTGGACGCGTCATTGGTTTGGCACGGCTGAAGTCGCATAAGTCGACATTGTGATTGGTGATCTAGTTATGAGGTATATTGACAGGCCATAAGTACATAACAGTTTCACTTCCAAATCCCAACTTAGCACTTGCCTTGTGATACAGTTTAATGACTTCCTCAGTGTATGTCATATCCACCCCCAGTATCTTTTCCTAATTTCCTCTTTAGCGAGAATACTTGTGCTTTTTTTATTATAGTTCAAGCTCTCCAAGTTTCAGCTCCGTACAGTGGGACTGTCTCGAATTTCGTATTGAAGATCCTGACTTTGATGTTGGTTGACAAATTTTCGGTTCCATATATCCTTCGACTGTAGGAATGTTATCTTTGCTTTGTAGGATAGAAGAGTTATGTCATCTATGAAATACAAATCTCCTTTCTTTGATATCTTGGTGAGGTTTCCATCTTTCCGGTTCGTCGGCGCTTGTCCTTCTTCCTGAATAAAACGTGGGACATGTTTGCAGTTACATCTGTATCTGCCTTCAATGCTTCAGCTGGTATATTGTCAGGTCCTGCTGCTCTCCCAATCTTGATTTGTCCGATGGACGTGCTAATTTCTTTGATCATTGGTGGAGCGACAGCTATACTAAGGTCTGTGTGTGCTGTTTCGATGTGTGGTGGGCTCAGTTGAGCTGGTATATTCGAGAGTTCTTCGACGTATTCTACCTACCTGTTTTGTTGTTCTTGAGTCTCAGTGATTGGTTTGTCTTTAACCGGTCTTTCTGGCTTACTATATTGCCGTGATAATTTATTGTCATATTGTGCTTACATTGTTTCCTAACCACATGTTATTTGAAGCCGTGCATATAATTACTGAGAAGATTCAAATTCAACATGTTTTACTAGAAGGTTAACAATTGTGAACGTAGAAACAGTCAGTCGAAATAGAATTACTCAGCCATGTAGGCGTGGTCACTTTATATAATCTATCGCATCTTGAATTGAATATATAACTAACCACTCAACCCAAATTTGTTCTTCTGAAGTGCTAAGCTTCATATTTCTGATTGTTACGATAGGCGAATCGGTGTAGGCTATGACGTGACTTCCACGTAAGATCTTATAGGTTAGATAGTCTCATTGTGAGAAATCTACAATTCAGGGATTTCGTTTATTGTTATAGTACTAAAGGTAAATGTAATAATACCGAAATAGACCAATATTCCAGTCGCTCAAAAAGGAATGACTGTAATAACTATGTAGTTATCACGTAAAGCATAGAAAAGATCGGTTATAACTGCGTAGTAATAAGTATAGATTTTTGTAATAATGACATTTATATAACGTATCGTTTTATTTGTGATCAGTGGGTTTCTTAGGCAAATTGATGTATTGAAGGCTAAGCAATTGACTTATATCAGATAGTTAATTTGAGCTATTCTACTTCTAGAAAGAATGTAACTGCATCAAACTTCTGTTTGATATAACTTTATATTTTTCTTTATCTCCCCTAGGTATCTGATTTTACTAAAGATTTAAAACTAGTGACATTAACGTGATTCTTTAGTACAATTGTACCCACATATTACATGACCCATTCGACTTTCTAATGAAGTGTGATTTGCACTATATTTTGATTATGTGAATTAGTTTTCAGGCAAACCAGTGGTTAACTTCATAATAAACTTGTGTTTGTTGAGAGAAAACAATTACCCAAAAATGCATATTAACCCAACACACATAAAATTCACTTCAACGAGCATTTGTTAATGAGGTGTGAACGAGGAAAATAATGTTTGGTTGCTTGTCTAGTCAGACTAGTAGTTAGTCTGACAGGTATTAGATGAAGTATACGTCTTTCCAACCTTATTATATCGTGATTGATATCGGTTGTTGACGTGTAAATGTACCTACGTTCTAGCCAGACCAGTCACGTGCTCTTGATCTGAATTATGTTGAAGTCCTGTATAATAGACACTGAGACGGTATGTCGTGTAGACATTCGTCCAAGGTAAATTAAGTTTCATTTGTGTAAGGGGGTTAACCAAGAATTACTTTACTTATTCACAAGTAATCCTTGATTATTCCTCATATTTGTGCATATGTCCATCCTAAAATCTCTTATCAAATTCGCATTCACATTTTATTTTTTGGTATATTTGTAAATTAGTTCATCACATAGTGTCCTCATAGGTCGTTTGGTCTGTTCTAAACTGCAATAAACAGTAGTTATGTGAATGTGTCGTGGTATTGGTCACTAACCACATGATTTTCGAAGGCAAACATATAATCACTGAGAAGATTGTTGTTCAATATGTGACTTGAGGCAGGTTGGTAACAGTGAACGCGGTAAGACTTATTAAAGATGATGTCAGTGGTTGCAATATGTGTGGGTTCTAAATGAACATCAGTATAAAGAAATAATATATTTCGCTCATAAATCGTCAACTCTAAGCTACTTATATCAACATTAAGTGGAAATTGCTAGTGTTGTTAGTTAACCTCTGCACCAAATGAGAGGTACTGCTGCAGAAGGGGATAGTAGGCAACAAGTCTATTCCTTCGTCCCAACCAGCTAATTTCTACACAGAATCATTCATCGTCTTGAAAGTAAATGTCTTGAAGCTTTTACAGACTCCTCGTGTACGTCAAACCTTTCTACATACATGGCAACGCCATTAGCAAAGCTGGAGTTACTACAAAAATGCAGATTACAATATTACGTGCAGAACATAATACCTGAAGATAAGCTGGAAATAATTTCCGAATTATTCACTTATCTGAATGAATTAAAACTGTTCCTGTTAGACGTCTTAGTTTTCTGTAGTTTGATAGACTTAATAATGATACATCAAGTTGGTTCGTATTAGGATCACGAGAATCAAAATTGACATCTTCATAAATAAACCAGAAGAACTTAGTCATATGAAAGTGAAGGGCGGACTTTCTATAGGTTTCCTCTCCGCTTTTTAATGATCTTTACTAATAAATATGCTCTTAAGAAGTTAGATATGCAGAAGCAAGTACGAGCTCGTGTTTGATGCTGTATTATGGAATCTCTGAAAGTCTAATTTGAGGCACAATCTGATTTTCTTAATTTCCTGCGTCCCTGTGTAAAGTGTAGGTGAAAAAAACCTAAACTCTAATAATTTATGGGAACCTCGAGGCCAAATCTGGATTTGTAATATTAAACGCAATGTCAACAATCTCAATAATTAGAGGACTTTGATATAGCACAAGCACAAACTCCAAGTTGAAGTACGTGGTATGAAATTTTGTTTTGCTAGCTTGAAATCAGCATAAAATATCTAACCGTATAGAAAATGTATGAGTTATTCACCAAAATCTACATGACAGGTTGTTAACATTTTGCCCAAACCAAGTATTTGTGCTGTAGACTTAGTTGTCCGAATCAGCCGCTCTATTCCTAATGTACCGCTGCTAACTCTATACGTCCCAGGAGAGCCAATCTAACGCCGCTGACCTAAGACAATTCCAAGATCTCGGAGAATTTTTAGGAATATTTTTAGCATCAAGCATAGTACAGATAATCGAAACGGTTGCAGCTCATACTGTGGAGATTGACGCATGCTGTCATGATAAAGGAGGGACAGTCATGTTCCTCAATACTGATTCAGAACCTTCCAACTGAATTGCAATCGAAAATTATAAACTATATCACACAAACGGAAAACTCCTAGGTTTATTTATCCCAGAGTTTTAGTGATGATTGGCAAAACCAGAGCGAGTTTTTGAAAGAAGGCTCGAACTAATCTGATATCATGCTAGAAGTTCGACTCTGTTCAGACGTAATCGTTTGAAATCCACCATGTTCATATTCAAACATATTGTGGAGAACGACCAAGCCTTCACAGATCATCACCACTTCAGTAACTCAACAGATCACTGACTTCTCGTACCAACTATTCTATGAGGAATCTTCTTCTAGGAGACACAACTTAGGTCTCATAAGTAAACTGTATTAGTCGAATATCAATTTACATAAAATCCTATAAACTCTTCTCCACTCGCAGCAACATAATTCAATGAAATTACTTCTACTATCTATGATGATTAGCAGTATTTGAATTATAGTACGAACTAAGAATCCCAGAAATAACGTATTAGGATCAAGAAGTACTAGATAAGCACAAACGAATGTACTGTATTTGGAATTCGAAATCAATCATTTAACAAGTACGAAGGAATCATTAGTTTATTCAAACACCACACTATCCCTCTGTAGATGTTACGTCTTGTTATCCTAAATTCAATATCATCTCCCTTCAACTTTTTTAGAGCATAAATAGGGTATTCCGACTTTTGACAGCTCAGATACTAACATTGACTTTGTTGTGAAGTATCTCTTTCCTATTCAGAAAAGGTTTGACGCATTCACCGTAAAACTATCCCTAGTCTTCAAAAAACAGTGTCATCTTAAAAACTACATCGTTTTTCTTTAGCTGCATTGGACACTAACCACACGACCCTTGAAGCCGAGCACATACTAACTGAAAAGACTTATATTCAGCAACTGGCACGAAGAGAAATTTAACTATGGAGAACGCGTTAAATGTATGTCTGTTACATTCTCGAGATGTCTGCTCAGTAATATACAAGAGAAAACTGGTCTCGATCCAGGTCA